TTGTTTCAAATACAATTTATGTGGATCCTTTCAGATGCACCATTCTAGCCCAGCAGCAAATTGTGGACCATTTTAAGAGCTGCCCCATAAAAAGCACACATAGCTGGATTACAATAACCCAACCATAAAGTCACTACATATGAAAGACTGAAACTTGTTCTCTTTCTCTCCCCCCCCCCCACCACCTCTCTCTTCCAAGGACACATCTGGTTTATCATCAATGTGGCGGTTCAAGGCCAATATTAGATATTCCCCAAGCTGCAAACCTGATTCTTAAGAAGGAGTCCAATCCCATTTAGAACTAGGGTATTTCCTCCAAATCTAGTTCCCAGATCAGTCATAATTCCATGTATTCTATGATGTGTAAAACAGCATTGAGGTTCCAACTTACTTCTGGGAAACAACAACACATTTGATGCAACATCGCTCTTTCTCAATTTCTTTGTATCAACTGTTGTAAATAGTTGCTCCTCATAACAAACATAGATGCCCATTAAAAAAAAAATGGTGACACATGTGCATTTCCACATTATAACAGGAACAGCTTTCATTCCAAAAAGACAGAAAAATTAAACTTGGATTGTACTTGCCTAAAGATATGCAACCACATTCTTATAATCACCTGAAAGTGGTATTTTTAAATATAGTGCTACTGAATGAGCAGGCTGTGACTATAAATGAATGAGATTATATATTGAATGAGATTAATTACATCACTGATAACAGACACTCCCTTTCTGTGGCCCTTTAAAATGTTCTTTTAATTCTTTCAAAGTTGAGAATTATACTATGTATAAATCCCTTAAAAAAGAAAATTGCAACCTCTATAAATAATTGATCTGTCATCTCAACCTTAGCCTTTCTTTGTAATAAGCTCTCATTTCATATTTTCACTTTCTTTCTCTCCTGTCAACCCCCACACCAGCAAGCACATGTGCACATGCACACACTCCCCAAAAAACTATTTTGCAAGAGATATCTAATTTGCCCTGCCAGAAGATTACTTATATTTTCCCCATTATATATAATGAAGACACTTCCAAAACGTGCTGCCAGTCACATTTCTGGACCTTATAGAATTACATTGTCAGAACCCTGTCTGTCTATGGGCATGGGGGTTCTTGTTCTTTTCAGAAAGCCTTGGAAGCGGCGCCTTATCACTCTGTTCCCACAGGGTTTTCATGCCTGTGGATTGACCTGTTTGAACTGTCCGGATGGACACTTGAGGTGGGATTATCGTGGACTCTTTTGACCTATTGATCCACGCGGGAAACCCTCAGATCCTGCCTTCTATTCCTGCAATCAACATTTCCCAATAAAAGTTCCTTTTGAAATGATGTCCATTTCAAGAGCTCTGCTTTCTTGTGAGGACTGATTAAGGCAGGTCCTTACATTAGGCAGGATCTGCAAAGTGGTCAACCCAGAGGGAAAACCCCTACCGTGGGGACCGTGCAAAAGATGTCGAACCATGGTGGTGAGAGAGGAGAAGGCAACCTTTGCAGGGAAGCTTCCAAGGCTGGCCTGAGCGGAAGCAGCTCATGTTCCTTCAGCTCATCCGATGAAGCCGTGACGAGAAAGTCGGGAGAAGCTGAGATGATCGATTGGTGTTGGAAAGAAGAAAGAATGGGAGGCAAAAGCCAGAAGGTGACCCTTAAGCGTGGCAGCCACCAACTAGGATGAAAGTGGGAGATGGAGAGGTCGCTCAACCTCAGCAAGGGTGAGAGACCAGCCCAATCCGACTGCTTCCTCAAACTAGCCATCAACCTGATAGTGGAAGCTTTCAAGTCTCTTAAAGAGGAAGAAGAAGAAGACCCCTGCTGGGGCTCAGTGGGGCTGGGGTTGGCAGAAGAGGAATGCTAGGAGAGTGAATTGATGAACCCTGGACCCTCTAACAGTGCATTAGAGGCTACGGAGAACATGGCTTCAGCAGCCACCCCAGCACAGGCCACCCCAGCTGGGGGGGACGGGTGCTGAGCTAGATGGAGAACCCACTGACCCAATTGAAAGGTCCCACTCTTGGGAGTGAAATACAATGGGATGCCTCAGCAGCTGGGATTCTTCCTAGCCTATGTCCTGAGCTACATGGAGGAATATGGTCGGGACATTCCCAGCAACAATGGATGGGTGAGAGTAGTGACCATGGCCTTGGAGGAAGCAGCAGGTCACTGGATGGTGACCCTGCATAATGCTGATGCTCCCAGGCTTCGGAACTTCAACCAATTCATGGCTGCCCTGAGGACGAGGTTCGAGGACCCCTTAGCTGACTGGAAGGCTAGAGAATGCATTAAAACAGTGGGGCAAGGTCATCGCCTGGTGGAAGAGTATACGGAGAAATTCAGAGACCTGGCATGCCATCTCAATTGACCAGAGGAAGTCCTAGTGGGTCATTTCAAAGACGGCCTGAACCATGACCTGTACCACTCGTGCATCGCCAGGAGAGATCTGGACCGCCTCCATGACTGGTGTATCCTGGCTTAGGAAGCTGAAATCAAACAAGCTCGAAGTCAGCGACTCCTGGGCAAATCTGGAGACGGTCCCTCGCCGAGGGAAAATGAGAAGCGACAAAAAAACTCACCGCAGCACTGCAGCACTTGCTTCAAGTGCAGTATGGAGAGACACCAGGCTGCAGAATGCCTTTCAAAGATTCCGGTATGCAAACCCAATTGTTCAAGTGGAGGGAAGCCTGGGAAGACTCCGCAATGACCCAGGGAGATCGCCATGAAAAGCGCTGAGGTCGTCAAGATCCGTTCCCCTGAGATCCTGGGGGAAGTAACTCTGACCCCGACTAGAAAACCACCCAACTTTCCTGATAGCGACTCTGAAGATGAACCTCCCATTTTTTTAAGGGAGGGCAGCATGTCAGAATCTTGTCTCTTTATGGGCATGGGGTTTCTTGTTCTTTTCGAGTTCTGCCATTCTCCTGGGGGGGGGGAAGCTTGGAGTTGCTTATGTGTATTTCCTTTGCTTTGTTCCTTGCTCTATCCTCTTTGAGGTTTCTCTATCGGGGTGAGAATGGAATGTGCCTCCAGCCATCTGCCTTATCTACGGGCACGGAGGAAGTGGCACAGAGACCTAATAGCCTTGGAAACGGTGCTTTATCACTCCATTCCCACAGCGTTTTCACACCTGCGGATTGGCCTATTTGAACCATCTGGATGGACAGTTGGGGTGGGGTTACCATTGACTCTTTTGATTTGATTCGTGCAGGAAACCCTCAGATGCTACCTTCTATTCCTGCTGTCAACATCTCCCAATAAAAGTTCCTTTTGAAATGATGTCCATTTCAAGAGTTTTGTTTTCTTGGGAGGACTGATTGAGGCAGGTCCTTACATACACATCCATTCCCTATTGTTCCTAAAGAATGCTCTCAGGTTGAGCAAAACGGCTGGTAGCAACATCTGTGCAGAATTCTTAGCAGCATTACAAATGGGCTTTGCCACCGTAACAGTCAACAACCCTCAAATTCTCAGGCAGTTGCCCAACCATGGACAAATCAGGAACAGCCACAGTCAGCTAGGGATTGCCCCTTGATAAATCTATGTTCTTATATTTTGTCAAAAAAGAGTCAAAGCAACACCCATTTCAATTTTGGAAGTAGAGCACCATGTCATACTTGTTTCCACAGTTAGTTAATTTAAATATATGCAAACATAATGGCATAATCAATTAAATCTCAGCCTGTCTTAAAACTGCCAACTTCAGAATCAATCCTTGTTGCACCAAGTCTGGGTCTGAAGAATGAAGGTCCTCTCCTAGAAGTTCTCTTGGTCTACAATCATAACTCTGCCTCCTGCCTTAGAGTAAAACTTGATAATTACTGCTGGTGATGGATTTATCTTAGTATCCATAAAATGTATGTGTGGATTTCTAAAATAATATTTGAACAAGACTTTTAATGTAATTTTTAAGATATTGTATCCTTTCTCCAAAGAAATGACAACTTATTAGATACACGCCACAGAAACTACTGGAACCAAGAATACAATTATTTATTTTTGCACTCTGCTGAATAGGTGCTTTGATCTGGATAATGCTCAGCCATCATCCACTAATTGAGGTTGTGTCTGCATAACTCACCAGATTAACATGCAATTGGCTAAATTTTAAATTTAAATAGCTCGAAAGAATTATAATAGGCTCTCTTTAATTCTTTGTTGGTAAAGTTAAAATTTAACACACAAATAGTCTGTAGCAGAAGCGACTGCCTGTGAAGGCTCCTAGACTGGGGCTGAAAGGCGAAAGTGGAAGCAGTATGCTAGGTCCCATATTGGTAGACCAGATTGCCCTGACAGGCTGGCCTCACCGGAAAACATATAATTCGCTAGTTTGTAGTTCAGGGTAAGTGTACATATTGAGGTTAGTGGAATAATTCGAAGAGCCAAGCTGAGTGCAATCTACTATCTAGAAACTTGCCTGATTTGGTTGCTGCAAGGTTACTTAGCAGATGCCTTCTGGAACTCGGACTTGGTGGAAGAAGAAACGAATGTCAGCAGATGCTTAATTCTAATGAGAAGCTACTCCAGCAAAAGCCCAGGAGGAGATGCTGTTTTGACGCACTAATTGCTTGTGTGTGTAATTACAACGGATGTAGGTGGGAAAAGAAATTGAGGTATTAATTCGCTGTCATGGCACTGAAGGAAAAAAAAAACAAACCGGTCAGCAGAGAAGCGGAGACGCTCGATGTCATCTGCTAGCTTCACCGCGGGATTTCTGTAGCTAATGCCTCTCGCCGGGCGATTTTGTGGAGGGACTGTAGTTAAACGTTCCCACTCAAGCGGCTCTAATTACTCCAACTCCTCCCCTCCCCGCCCCCGGCACCCGATGAGGATGCGCAAGCACACTGAAAGGCGCTGCGAAGTTTACTACCCCGCGGAAGCAAGTGCTTCGCGTCTCGTCAGAAAAGCAAGCCTTTCTCCACAAGCCAATCCTTCCAGCGGGGACGAACGGGAGGAACTACAGCCCTGGCCCGCTTACCCCTTTCTTCCCCCTCGGTCTCCTACCGCAGCGAGGCCTTTTTTAGCTGTCGGGAGGCCGCCCAGGAGGTGTGGCTTGGAGCCTGTCTCCGGCGGTCGTTTTTTTGGTAGCCGAAGCTGAGCGACGGGGACTGGTTTGCTGGATTTTGTGCTCCTTCGGCCTGATACAACGCGAGCTGCTGAGGGCGAAATTCGGACTGCAAGGCGAGTGGAAGGCTCCGGCGAGCGTGCCGCCCAAAGGACGGCGAGCAACAAGTGTCTCCGGCCCTTTGCAGCTGGGCCGTGTGCGAAGTTAAGGTTTCGGGTCCCGACCGGTTGCCTGTAAACACGTGGCCCGGCCCCTCGGAGGCGGACGGCTTGCGGAGGAGCCGGAGGGTGGCTTCGAGGAAAAAGAAACCAGGGAGCCCTCCGGGAGATGCGCTGAACTGTGAGAACGAGAGAAGTGACCGCAGCGGGTGAGTCACGGAAGCGTGGAGGAGGAGGGGAAAGAAAAAAAAGAGAGACGGAAGCGGTCTCTGACGTTTCTTCTTTTCCTCGCTTCCCGCAACCGAAATGCTCCTTTCTCGCCGTTGGTGAAAGCCCGGCGAGCGCTGGCGGGCCTGGGGCGCAGCTTCTAGAGAGGAAAAAACTGCGCGCGCTTGTACCTCGGGGGATCCACTCCGGACGGTGGGAGGAGCGAGGGGCAAGCGCTGCTGAAACAACGTGTAATGGGGGAGAACCCGGCACATCCTGGCTCTGTTGGCAAGGCCATCATCTCCTAAGAGCGATGGTGGCGGCTTCATCAAGGACGACAGCAAGAGCACCAACTCCGGTCACAGGGACCCGGCGACGTAGCAGGAGGAACGGGCCCCGGCCATTGTCTGCCAAGGTAACGGCGAACATCTCTCCGCTTTCGGTAGTGTGTCTGCGTGCATGTGAGTTTGCTTGGCGTTCGGAGAAAGGAGGAATTGGTTGGCCGGGCATGTTGGAGAGGAGAGGAGAGAAAAAAAGGCGGCTGTGGTTTTCAAGGGAGGTCACATTCAAGTGGCTCGCGATAGGGTTGCCAGGATTGGGGTTTCCTGTCTTCGCGCAGAGGCGCTCGCCCGCACGCCCCAACAATCCTGTTTGGGCGGTTTAATGCTTTCCTCCGCCACTCCCTGAGCACGACAGGAGACTGAATTGGACGTGGAAAATTCTGTCCCAGAATATGGCTCGTGCGTATGGCATCGAAATCTGAAAAGATCAAGGGGTACTTGCTCCCCTTTGGGTTTCTCGACTGCCGAGTGCGAGAGACCAGCAGTGCTTTTTACTCTTAAGAGGGGTCGGTGGCACGTCCCTTGCCTTGTTCTACCGGCTACTCTTTTCCCATTTCAGACCTTTTCTTGTTTTCATTTCTCATTTGCAAGCTCATGTCTGGTTGGATTTGATTAATCAGATAATATTCTAAATGTTCTCTGGAATGTAGAATTTATATATGAATTAAAGACAGAGAGAATTTGACAGTTTTGGTAAAATCTGGATAATTTCATCGAAGAACCAAGTTGACATAGGATTGTTAAAGTACTGTGCAAAAAAGCTTTTGGCTTTCAGTTTATTTTCTACCTTGCATTGGTAGAGGCTGTTCTGATTTTTCTGAGTTTCTTTGAGGTATAAGTCCAATTGATATTTGGTAACTTACTCTCTAAATATGGGGGAAGTAAGGGATTTCATTATTTGTGTAAAGAAAATGAACTAATTGGAAGAAATAACAGGCCTCTTCAGTTTTAGTTTTTCTTAAGGTTTAAATGTTTTTCTCTTACTGGTGTCAGAGCAAGGATTACAGATTGTTTGGATGCTCTCAAAATAAACTAGAAAATGATCACTAGACGGTATTTTATTCGCTGTCGCCTAGTGGTCATCTGGATGTTTGCAGCCCAAATCATTCTGTTTCCAAGCATACAATTGCCCTTTAAAAGCTACACCTTCTCTCTGTGTGTGTCTCTTTGGATTTAGCTAATTAATTGCAGAATGTTTTGTAGTTCTGAAGACCAATGAACCTTCCTTCAAATTTAGATATTATTTAGTTTTAGTCTGATATTTTCACAAAATAATGATTTAGCTATAATGAGTACTCACAAGACCATATCAATTCTGTAAAAATTCACATAATGTTCTCTTTCAAGGATAATTTTACACGTACAAAACATTACACTGGTAACTATATCTAGTCCATAACTCCCAAATCATTCTTACTCCTACTTAACATTCTCTTTGACTGACCTCCACATAATCATTAGACTACATAGCTACAGATTATTAACTCAAGGATTCAGCAGTGTAATACAGAATCTACTCCACAAGAATACATTGTCAAAGACAATTTACCAGATTAAAAAAATCCTTTGACAAAGATTGCAAAGAAAATATGTGCTGAAGTAACCATGATGATGCATTTTTTTACTCCCTCCAAAAAGTTTCCAAAGTAGCTAGCACAATCTAAAATAACCATGATCCAAAAAAAAGTGGAACATAGAAAAGAGGGAACTACTTAGCTCTGGCTTCAGAGCTTAGTTAAAAATTCTTATCAAGTGGAATGAAAGCTCTTTGGGGTGCCTTGATGGGACAGTTAATCATAACCTGGTAAGACAGACTCTAAACTGAAATTTGTAGGTTGATAAAATAACGCTAGCTTTGGGAATATTTTCCATATGTATGGCGTTACCTGAGCATAAAGGTTTTTTGCCTGTAAATAAACTTTTGCACTAAATAGATTGTTTTACAATAGTTAAAGGGTGGAAAAAATGACAGAGTGCAAGTAGAAAGATAGGTGTTTTATAAAACTGCTTAGTGTGCCAATACACCATGAAATAATAGGCCTTCCTTTTTTCTTCCTTTTTTCATGCTGGAAAAATGGTCACGTAATCACATCAGATGTCACAATGCATGCAGAAAGAAATTAGTTGGTTGATTATGATCTGGGGAAGCAAAGAAAAGGTGAAGAGTGAAATGAGATACTCATATTAAAGCTATAAGAGGCTAGACCTGATAACAAACTAGTGAGGTTTAGAATACAGATACTGTTTTCCATAATGAATTTAACCTTGGTAACTATAAAATTCTAAAAAAAAGAAATGAGTACGGTAAAATGAGTGAATGAAAGATACTGTAATGTTCCAAATCTGAATGATAGTCCAAATGTCTATACAGCTAGTTTGAAATATTTGCAAATTTGATTGCAGGAAAGAGGCATTAAGACTTTTTGTACACAATGGGAGCTAAAGGTAGATTATCATTTTTGAAATGTTTAGAAAGCTTTCATTTTTACAAAACAAATCCTGACAAAATTGGTACATATTGGTTCCAATATAACAGTTGAAGTCATACATTTTTAACGGCATGGACTAAAAATGAAACTAAAATTAGATGTGTGTGACTATATTTACCTTAACATTGCTGGATACAACTACCATACAGGTAGTTCTCAACTTACAATTGGTCATTTAATGACAGCTTCAGGAAGAAAATTTTACAACCCATTGAGCATTTCTGGCATAAAATGTTGTGTCGTTTCCCCCCCCCCCCCGGTCACATTCAGCAGCTTCGTAACTGGTTCCTGTTTACATCTGATTGCAGTGTCCTGCAGTTGCATGACTGTGATATGTGACATTTTGTACTGGTTTCTGGCAAAAAATGCCCATTCTGGAGAATGGGTTCAGACTGATGACTATTCTAAAAACAGTCATAAAATTGGATCTGGTCACAAGGGTGCCTCAATTTACAGCCAAGGAATTTCAGCTGGTGGAATCCAGAAGAGGATCCTTTTCTGCCATGGCTCCAGCCCTTTGGAACATCTTGTTAAAGGAGATGAGATCCATCCCCTCTTTTTTAGCCTTTAGGAAAGCCTTAAAACTTTGTTATGTTGGCTTGGAGTCCTGAAGGAGAAGCTCATTTGGCTGGAGGTGGTTGGTGCAGCAATAGAAGATACCATCATTTCTCTGCTCCAAATTTAGGGTTTTTAATTAGTTTGATTTTTTTTTTAAATTGTAACCTTTTTATGTGTAGAATTGTACTTATATTTGCATATTTTTATCATTTTGTAAGCTGCTCAGAGTCACCTCAATTCATTAGGCAGTTTAATAAATAAATAAAAATAAAACTTACAACAAAAATTCCAATCCCAATTGTGGCTGTTAAGTTGAGGTCTACCTGTAGTTCAAAACATTTGAATTTGTAGCCTGTCTTGGAGAACAGAGAGCCAAACATAATTTCTTTCTCTACCTGGTTTTCTTAATTTGTAAGAAAAGGCACTATGCAAAATCATATAAGTAATTTCTGAAGAGAAATCTTAGAGTTATTATGGAAGCCTAGGAACAGTATCAATCCAGTGTGTATACTACTTGCTATAAAAATAAGGCAAAAGCCATGCTTACTATAATTAGAGAGTTAAAAATAGACCTGTTGATAAAATAATGCTGTTATAACAAACGAGCTAAATGTGTTAGATACAGTTCTCATAACTGTAGCTTAAGCGTTATAACTGAAAAATGATTGAAAAGGGTTGATTAGAAAGATTAGGAGGCTCAAGTAACTCTACTATCAAGAAGCACTGCAGCAATTGGGCCTCTTCAATTTGTAACAAAGAAAGATAAGGGAAATACATGGTAGAAGGGGGTGACAAGGAGACTGATGACATTTTTTCCTTCTGTCACAATGTTAGAATCCATTTTATTCCAATGAAGCTGGAAATAGGAAGATTCTAGACCACTGGAAGAAAATGCGTTTTCACACAATGCCTAGTTAGAATTTGTAGTTAGTAAGCTAACAATTTGGATTGGTTTAAAGGGGGATTGGACAGATTCACAGATGATCAGGCTATCGGTGACTACTGATATTGATCACTATAATCTGATCTATATGGTCATATGCATATTCATATCTCAGAAATAACGATGAAAAGTGATGAAAAGGATGTTAAATTAATTGAAAAAATATTTTTGCAGGTATACTTTCTGTCCAATATTTTCAGGAAATCCATAATTAAAATGCAAGCTTCATTTGTTGATTTGCCATAGTGAGAATTGCACAGCTTGTATTTAATGTTTCCAGTTGTTGTTGGGGGAGGGGCTAGTCAGTAAATTTTGACAGCAAACAGTGGGTGCTCCAACTGTCTTGAAGGGAAGGAGTTTGCTCGCTCATAAAATAACTGTCACAGTAAGTGTGTGCAACCTCAAAAGATGAATTGCCCAAAAAGCAAACTACTCCCTGTCATTTTTCCTTGCACCCCAAGTGACTTGTTATCTCTGTGCTGATTGGGGGCAGGGGACTAGTGGCCAAAGCTCTGTGGTTCAGCCTCACATTTGTCCCCCCAATCAGAACACCTATTTGGAGTCTAGAACATTCTTGGAAACAAAGATGATTGTGGAGATTGCTCTCTTCCTTTTTTGTATGCTTGATTTGTTCTTTTAAAAGTAGAGTGAGGAAGATGTCTTCAAGCATCTAGAGAGGATCTCACATCTTTTGTCTGCCTGTGCAGCTTCACCACCTATAGGCTCTGTGGAAGGGGAGGCTTTATGGCCCTTAGGACCTGCCGTAGGGAAAGACAAGTTTCTGGCCTGAGGAGAGTTTTGTGGGGACTCAGATGACAGAAAAAAAGGCGGTTGAGGCGACTGTAAAGAGGGGGAAATAGAGAAAATCCTGGTTGCTGCCGTCATACAGCAGGGTTTTTTTCAACACTGCCAGAGGCTGAGGCCTATCCAAGTATCTCAGGATTGGGAAATCACAAACAGGTCGGAGAGACATTTTGTACATTTTAAGCAAACCCCAAGAATGTTGCCTTAGAGGAACGCAGTGTAAACGCTGAAGCTATTTTAAAAGCTGTGTGGAGTGGCAGAGAAGTTGTTGGACTAGAAG